TTTGAAAAGCGATGCCAATTACCGGGTCTCACCAACGAGGAGGTGACTACGCATCGAGACCCACCTGAAAAAAACAAAATACAAAACACAAAACACAAAATACAAAACACAAAACACAAAATACAAAACAACAACAAAATGATATAATTTATATAAAAAATTTAATTACACACAAAATTTAATCACATTAAAATGACACAATTTAATATCTATATAAATTAAATATAAAACATAGAAAAAAAATTTAATACAAATAAATTAAAAATATAAAAAAATTATGTTGAAATAAAATACATTAATTTATAATTACATAATTATATTTAAAATTACATCCAACGTCGTCCAACGTCGTCCAACGTCGTCCATCGATGAAATCATCTTAAATTAACTTAATCTAATAAGCTCTTAATACTAAATCTTAAATCTATCTTATATTATACTTAAAATTAAAAACGTTGTCCATCGATGAAATCTTCTTAAATTAACTTAATCTAAGCTCTTAATACTAAATCTTAAATCTATCTTATATTATACTTAAAATTAAAACGTCGTCCATCGATGAAATCTTCTTAAATTAACTTAATCTAAGCTCTTAATACTAAATCTTAAATTTATCTTATATTATACTTAAAATTAAAAACGTCGTCCATCGATGAAATCTTCTTAAATTAACTTAATATTTTAACTTAAGTTCTTAATATTAAATCTTAAATCTATCTTACATTCAATTTAAAAGTTTTTGATATTGTAGTATTTAAATTTAATTAATTAAGACGCATCTTATCGTTTACATCGAATATAATAACTTATAATAAAGAAATTACATATTATTACATATTATTACATATAAAATCTAAAACTAAATTTTAAATCTATTTGCAATCTCCGTATCAAGAATTCTTGATCAACTTCAAGAGAAAGAAGGAAATTTCAAAAAATTAATCATTTATTATTATTATATAATTTAAAAAAGACCATAATATTCAAAAAGAAGACAAGCGAACCAAGATAAGAATAAATATTGAAGAACATAAGATACATCATCGATAAAAATGAATTAAGTAATTAGAAAAAAGGAATATCCTATAAATCACTGTCATTCTCATGTCACGACTTACATCAATGGACTTACAAGAGCCGCCAGACAGATGATACTTGCCAGTCGTGGTCAATCAAGGATTACGACAGCGGCCTAACAGAAGAAAACGTTTGTCCCAGCGACAATGGAAGGAAGAAGGAAGATCCTCGACCACCTATGCCGACTAACAAAGACAATGTTCGACCATAAGGCCTAACTCTGATCGAGTACTCGATGGCACCAATCGACCAGAGCGCGGACCCTTGATTGGCCACCGGAAGTAACACTAGTTCAACGACTCTTGCCATCGTTGCATGATATTGATATAATTGACAGTGGCTTGAAATAAGCGAGAAAAGAAACAACAAATTATAAAATAGTCATAAGGATAAATTGAAGAAGAAAACAAGAAACGATTCGAATGACCATAAGAATAAAAACTCGAGATGAAAAATAATCAAAACAAAAGAGGGAATATTAATAATAATAAATGAGGAAATAAAAGAATCAAGAATTTTATTTTTCGTTTTAAGTTGAGAAAAGAATCTTGATACGGAATACGCTTAATAATAATAATCTAATAATCTAATATTCGTTTATTAATATCTATATCAAGGATATTCTGATTTTATTTAAAAAAAAAAAAAAAAAAGAAAAAAGATAATATTGCAAAATTTTGTTAAAAATTAGAAAATATTATAAAAACAAGGAAGGATTAATCAGAATATTCTTGTTCAGATTTTATTAGTACCTATAATCTAGTCCATTAATAATTAATCAAAGTAATTAAAAACAATCATATTTTAGACTAGACTGTAAGTATGCATAATTCTTGGCTTGCCATCGCTTTTCGAAAACTATTATTGATGAAATACAATATTTTCGAATTTAAAATATCTCGAAAAATTTTTAATTAAATACTTGTAAGATATTTTCTTAAATGAAAAATATGAAAAGCGATGCCAATTACCGGGTCTCACCCACGAGGAGGTGATTATACATCGAGACCCACCTAAACCTAACAAATAAAAAAAAATGAATAATTAATGATTAACAAATTAATGATTAACAAATTAATGATAAACAAATTACAAAAAAATATAAAATGTACAACAAAAAGATATTATATAATTATAAATCTGAAATATAAAACTTTACATTGATCTTTACAAAAATTTTTTACATTATTATCGCAATTTTTACATTATTTATCGCACGCAATTAATTCCGCGTCGTCCAATGATGAGGCTTATATTTAAAACTTAATCTATATTCTTAATACTACATCTTAAATTTACGATTCATATATCTTACTGGCATAATCCATATTAAAGATACGCTTCCATTTAAAGTAAAGTAAAAAAATAAGAGAAAAAGAAATTATATGTAATATAATTCATTTTATGTTAAGGAAGATATCTTTTTACGGAATGTACTTACAATAAACTTAATATAAATATCTACCTTACATTAAACTTAAAACTAAGACGTAAATTTAAGATTTAACATTTAAAATTTAAATCTAATTTTAAATTAAAACACAAACATCTTACTTAAAAATCATAAAAAATAAATTAATTAAAAATCTTAAATATAAAAAAAAGTAAAAAATTTATTTTGATATTTCACACAGGAATTCTGAATATTTATTCAACTATTGCATGATTAAAAATGCAAAAATACAAATTTTATTATTCAATTTTAACGCAAAATTTTGTAAAAAAAAAATTAATTTTAATTTTGACAACGAATAATTATTTGTCATTTATTATAAATAAATAAACTATAGTTATATTAATACATCGTAGTAAGAATATTAATTTATAAAATATTAAATAAATTAATATTCTTACTATAATGCAAACAATTTTAAGTAATATTATAGAGAGTTTAAATGAGTTCAAATGAATAAATTTTTTTAGCAGTATTTTCATTAACAAATGTTTTAATATTTAGGGGCGCTGAAAAAAAAAATGATAGCCAGAAAAGGCTACAAGGATCGCACTTGTGATTCACAAATACAGATTCCACAATTTTAGTGGAAAATATCTTGGGCATTTTATAAACGCAACACTACTTTCAAAAACGCGATCATTTTTTAACACAACACTACTTTCAAAAACACGATCATTTTTTAACGCAACATTACTTTCAAAAACGCGATCATTTTTTAACGCAACACTAGTTCATAAAATGAATTCAGTGCAATTGAATTGAAAATTAATATTTCTACAATTAAAATTTGAAATGAAAAAAACAAAGAATTTTTTAATACTACTTTTTTAAAAAAATTATATTATTAAAATTAAAGTTATTAAAGAAATCGCGATGTCTCATAAAACGCAACACTAAAGCAAACACGATTGTTACTTATTCGCAACACTAATGCAAACCGTAACTTATTTCGCAACACTAATTACGAAATCGCGATTGCCCATTTTCCCATTTTATGATCCCAAAACAGGACCACATTTTTGCAGTTCTTACAACTGCATTTTATGATCCCAAAACAGGACCATTTCCACAATATTAGTGGAAGAATCATGGGCATTTTATAAACGCAACACTACTTTCAAAAACGCGATCAGTTTTTAGCGCAACATTACTTTCAAAAAACGCGATCATTTTTTGACGCAATACTACTTTCAAAAAACGCGATTACTTATTAACGCAACACTAATTTCTAAAATGAATTCAATGCAAATAAATTGAAAGTTAACATCTTTATAATTAAAACTCGAAATAAAATAAACATAAAATTTTTTAATTTAAACTATTTTTTAAAAAAATTATACTATCAAAATTAAAATTATTAAAAAAATCGCGATGTCTTAAAAAACGCAACACTAAAGCAAACGCGATCGTTATTTA